CATGCAATTAACGAAGGAGTGTCTGCAATTGCTAATGCTTCGAAATTTTAGCAACTTCATGCGGCAACAGCAAGTTTTAACAGCAATAAAGATTCAACCATTCTCAAACCATCAAAAATCAAATCTTCGGCACATCAGAGATCACCCAGGAGAAAACCCACGGACCATATCCATTTCATTTTGGGGGAAGGAAAACGCAAAGCTGGTGGCCTTTTAGGTTCATAAGTTTTCAATCACACCAGTTCAAACACGACCCACACACGGCTAGAAGACTTAGCCCCTTTTTTACTCACAAACGAAGAAACAAATTCTTGATGAACATCAAACAGAAAGGGCGGAAAAGTAGACAACAAAACAGTGAACTTCCCATAAACAAAGCCACGAAATACATGCTTTAAAAAAAACTACAAGAGTCTGTGTTTGAAGAGATACCGAAATTTAGCAGGAAGAGGAATACTCACAGTAATGATGCTTTCTCTCGGCGAAGATGATGACGGTCAGGAGGGTTAGCAGCTCCAATGGTTCTCCGGGCTCTCCACCGCATCTCTATTTTTTTGTTCCAGACTTTCTCCTAGCCGTCAAAACTCTCCCAGCCGTCCTATCTATTTCTTCAGCCTCCCCAGATTCCTTTTCATCTGCCGTTCTCCTCTACTCCTCTGATTTTTCTTTCTTTAGCCGCTATTCGAATCCTCCTTCATCAGCCGTTCAGATCTTTTTCTCACCCTCGTTCTCTTTTCCTCTGTCAAAACCCCAGCTGTCTCTTCTCTCTATCGAACTCTCTATCTCTCAGCCGTCATACCCTCACTAGATTTTTTTCGTCATTAGATGCTCCTCTCCTCTAGTTTCTTTGTTCATACCCTAGCCGTCACCCCTAGCCCACCTCTCGGATGACTGCATCTTTCTTTTTATATGTAAACTCCCATCCTTAAACCCTTACATCAATGGTGTTGAGGAAAGCTAGATTTCTTGGGGATCTTTTGAACCTTTAGATGGATGAGGTTGGGATCAAATGTCGCTGCCCATTCTTGTCCTTGCTATGGCCTGCGGCTTGTAATGTGAAAAAAAAAAGGCTTGGATCCGGTGTGGCTCACACCAGTGTGAGCTTTTTTTTTTTTTCAAGAAAACATTGAATTTAAATCAAAAACAACTAAAGCATATTTTTTGAATGCTTTTCTTTTCTTTTCAAGAAATTCTATGTTAAAACTTAAAAATAAAAATAATAAAATAAAAAACTAAAAAAACTACAAACTAAAAAGTGAATAAAACTAACACGACAAATAAAAAGTAAATGAAATTACACTGAAAATTTGGTGTCTACAGTTGGCGATCCTCAGGGGTTGCCAAATAAAATAATTTATTCTAAAAATTCAAAAGGGATAATTAGGGATAAAATGTTTAATTGGAAAGGAAGAAGGCCTGACTTTTCATTCCATTCTTCGCATTATCCCTGAAAGGAAACTTCCATTTATCAAATGAAGAATTTCTTACACATATCCGAATTGATCGGTTGAGGGAAAACTTTGTCCATCCATTTTTACAAGAACAAGTGCTTCACCAAGCAATACCTTTTTGACAATAAAAGAACCTTGCCAATTTGGGGTAAACTTTTCTTTTCGTCTCATCTTGCACCGACAAAAACTATCTCAACGCTTTGTCTCCTCGTCTAAATAGTCATGATTTGACTCTTTGATGGTAAACACGGGCCATTCTCTTTTGATAGCACTGACTATGACAGATGGCATTTAGCTGTTTCTTATCAAGTGACCACTGATTTTTATTTTCTTAATCTTGATCCCAATTCATCTTAAGTTTCCCTTTATACCATTCGGGTTTCTTTAAAACATTTTCGGATGTCTCTTCCCTACTCCTCTCATTTTGAAATTCAAATTCACATTCGTGAGATACCGAGATTGCTGTCATTAAATTTCGGAACAGTGATATCCAAAGGGTCAGAAGATTTTATTCTTGGCCATCTGAAAAGAATGCGTAAGTAACACAGTATATATAAAGCTGTACATTTTATTGAATTTCAAGAAAAAGATCAAACTTAATAGCATGTTACTTGTTAAACAAGACATGTCTTCAAAAGCCACTTGATTCAAAACTACTTAAAAAAACATAGTTAAATAAAAGACAAGCATGAATGATTTTCATTGATTTTAACCAAAGACAACTCCCCAAATTTATCGAATCTCCCTTCAGGAGGGAAAGATCTCACTAGTTCGGGATTTTCAAATTTCCTCATTGGGAGTAAATACCTCGAAGGTGGTGTGATGAGGTACTTGAGAGTCTGGGTAATTTTGAGGCATTTGAATGTTGGCTAGGTTGATTTGGATGTTATGGGGGTAAATATATGGAAAACTGGAAGCGGGGTAGGAGAAAGTCTCTTCGAGTATATTTGCAAAAGACGGTGCAAAGATTGCTTGGGTATGGGATAGAGGAGGTGGTTGATGTTCTATTTCAGATTAACTGATAGGCATGGGATCATGTTGGATACCGCCACTGCTAGTAACTAGTTGGTCAACCATGCGCCTTTGGGTTGTCAATTCCATGCTCAATTCATTGAATTTGTTTAACATCTCACTCAATTGAACTCCCAAATTTGTAGTGTCTGCCAGAGGTATCGTGGTGGACTCGTCAGATGATTCCGGACGTATACTCATGTTGATACTATTTCTCGAAACTCGGATACATGATCGTGTAATGATGGGATTTCTTCGTGTAGCTATATTTACAATTACCTGAAAATTTACGAAAACCCTATTTAGATTCCCTTCTTGATTAATTGCTAACAAAAGGAAAGAAAAAGACAGGAGTTAGAAAAAAATTAAAGTAATTCAGATGCATGTCTTATTGGGAAAGCCTTTTTTGTGTCAAGAGTAGGCCTAGAATGAAAATGCAATCCTCTAGGGTAGGCACCATACAATACCTGATAAATTCAATCGATTTATTGATGTTCGAGTGAAAAATAATTTGAAAATTTTGGTCAATTGGAGTGGTAAGAGATATTTGTCCTAACAAAATGAGAACAACATCCGATGGATTGATTACTTTGACTAACACATAAAGTGATGTGTGAAAGAACCTACTCTTGAAAAGATTGTAATGTCTCGACTAGTTTATTCAGTGAACCTTAGATCGAAACCCCAAAAGAGAATAAACGGGTCAAATGAATTGGATAAAATTGATGATTTATTTAAAAATTGACTGGATCGCCCTAAAAATGGGTAAACTAATCAAATTGGTTGAATGAAATTGATGATTTATTCAAAATTGATTGGATCATTCTAAAATGGGTAAACTGATCAAATAAATTGAATGTGTAAGGATCGAAGACAACCTAAGAGGGGGTGAATTAGGCTTTCAAAAACCTGCTAAGATATATTCTACTTTTTTCACAGACAGCCTTTCTTTTCTCAAATACCTCCCAATGAACAAGATAACACAAGAGCACAGGTATTCGTGAGATGGAGAGAAGAACAGTTTATGTAGAAAAGCAGTAAATGAAAATAAAGAAACAAACCAGGCTTCAAACACAACTGAGGTTTGAACACCACTTTTATATACCAAGTTACTTCAAGTTGAACAGACTTGCAACCAATCTTTTGTGTACAAGGAAGGGATCACTTCCTTCTTGCCCCAAACCACACTTGGTCAAGTAAGGAAGTTTTACAAACACTCGCAAACCCTCACTATGCTACACTATTGAAGAAGCTATGTCACACTTGAAAAATTGCACGAAGATTGCACAAGCAAGGAGTACAAATGTTCCTTTTGAGTATTCTAGCACATGAATCATTCACTATTTGATGTAGGCTTGATGTACAAAGTTATCTTGAGGTGGTTGACTTTGTTCTTTTTATAGGAGACCGGAGAGTTCCTCAATTAATGCTGTCAACGGGTAGAAGGCAACTGAAGAGTCAACTAGCCGTTGGTGCTGTCGGACGTCCGATGTTTGATTTTTATGCGTCCGAACGAGATCAATGAGTTCTGGAAGTTTTCTTGAGTCCCTTAGGACGTCCGATCATGCGTCCGAGGGTAGGATGAATACTTGGACTTTCTTCTTCAATTCCTTCGGACGGCCGATGCGTCCAGAGTGTTGCGTCCGAAGAGCAGCAACGTTTGTCGGACGTCCGATACACAGGTGTTGAGCGTCCAAACCTGATCAGTAATCGAGTAATTCCTGGCTTGTCTTCTGCGGACGTCCGAGTTTGAGTTCTTTACTCGTCCAAAGATACTCAAAGAATGTCGGACGTCCGATGCTCTCCTTTTGTGCGCCCGACATCATCCTCAGCAGATTTCATTCTTTTTTGATCTTCTTTTTCTGCTTTAAATCCACAGACCTGTTTGGTTTATTTCTGAAAAGGATCTCTACAAAAGGTGTTAGAAACATCCAATTGTTTTGTAATCATCAAAAGATATGAATTGAAATAGACAATCTCCCCCTTTTTGGTGATGACAAAACAATTGGATAGAGCACAAAATATAACAGCTCCCCCTAACGAAGTGCATGAGTAGTATATAGGAAGAAACGCAATCCACATCATCAATGCTGATCCAGCTCAACTCCCCCTGAGACTGTCTCCCCCTAACTAGATACTCTATACTATCAGTGTTAAACCAAATCCAATTCCAATTCTCCCCCTTTTTGTCATCACAAGATTGAGTGTCAGTTTTGGAACCAGCAGTACGTCCCATCAGAAACATTATCAGTGTACAGCACAGTTTGCTATACATATTCATTTACAATGTACAGCACAGTTTGGACTCAATCATGTAGCAGATGTTAAACAGAAACATTCATTCATTGAACAGATTTCAAAAACATATAACCAATCATAACATCCATTCAAAGCATTCATCACAAGCACTTAGTTAAAACATTCTTAAATAGTAGAAAATATCCAGTTGTACAGACCAGGTGTTCAACATTTAGTACAAAAGTGCAATGCAAAAGATGAACTATAGTCCTAGGTTTAGGTGCAGTGACCTAGTAGTGCCTAGATGGTAATCTTAGATGATCCAGGCCTCCTCCTGGTCAGACGGTACTGTTCAGGGTCCTCTTCTTCCTCAGTTTCTTCATCATCATCTTCAAATGCTTCCTCAGTTACTGGAGCCTTGCCTTTATCCTTGGGCTGAGAACTGGAAGCTGGTGTGGTCTCATTACCAGTAGTTGGCCTTGTGGGCTCAGATCTTGGTTCTTTCTGATGAGCAGTCTCATTTGTCTTAGGTATAGGGGGCACAAGAAGATTCCTTTTTTCAAGGAAAGAGGATTGTTGGGCAGAGGTCATGGTCATCATGAGACCATCTTCAAGAAACATAACATGCTGTTTGAGGTCTTCAAGCAAGGAGATGACCTCAGAGTTGGAAGAGAAGGACTTACTAGCAGACTTTCTAAGATGAATGGTGAAAGGAGAAACATAGCCTGACTGATCATGGGGAGTTCTAGGAGTGGCAGGGGTTTCATGCAAATTTTTTCTTCTAGACTCGGCCACAGTCTCCTTGTAGCACCAATGACCATCAAAAAATTTTAGGTTCTTTCTTTCAAAATAAGTTTTGGAGAAAACTGATGAAGCACTGTCTTTTGGAGATTTGCCAGAAAAGGGTATGTCAAAATGTGCAAAAATGGGGGTCAGAAATCTGCCATAGGAAAGCTTCCTACGATTATCAGTGCTGATTTTGAGCAGAAATTTGCACATTACAAATCCAAAGTCAATGCGAATTTTTTCAACAAAGCAGTAGAAAAGATAGAGTTCCATTTTGTTTGCATCTGTTCTGTGGCCATCAGTTGGCACCAACAGATTCGAAATGATGGTGAAGATGATCAGATTCTGAGGACTGAGATCATCCAATCTTGCCTCAGCAGGGGTGTTGAATTTGGTTTGAAAATAAGTCATGAGTTTAGCATTGTAAAAATGATGATAGGCAGAAGGGAATTCCTCATACGAAAAGAAATTTGTAATTTTTCCCTTAAAACCAGGTTCAATACTAGTTTTCAGAATAGAATTTACAATGTCAGGAGTTAACATGATGTCTACAGAGTTGACCCTAGAGATGAGTTCAGTGTGTGATGTACCCTTTCTAAGATTAGCAAAAAATTGATAAAGCATGTCAGGATAAAAAACATTAGGAATGGTCAGAAGATGAGTCCATTTCTAGAATTCAAAGAGTTTGATGACCGGTTCAAGATCAAACTTACGAAATTCAAAAGGAATGATGAGCCTTTGGGTGATGAACCCTTTTTGAGAGACTAACTCAAATCTGTCTCTGGCTTCATCATCAATGAACTTTGGTAGAGGAACGGGTTCAGGTGCAGGCTGAGATACTGGATTCTTCCCAGAACGTGTCCCTTTAGAGGTTTGAGTGGCAGATGCACCAACATTTTGAGTCTTAATCCTTGTCCTTGGAGACTTCCTGATGGAGGGTTCAGATGTTGGCTGACTCTCAGTAATGTTTTCTTTATTCTGCTGATCAACAGAGGGATCAGCAGATTGCTTTTTCTTGGATTGGGGAGTTCTCTTCCCCTTTGCAGTCCTTTTTCTTTTACTAGAAGACCTTGTGACAGTTTCATCACCTTGGGTAGCCTGCTCTGGTTCCTCATTTCCACCAGCAATGTTCCCTTCAGAGATCTGCCCTTCCATTTGTTCAGCAGATGATTCAGGAGTTGGAGTAACTAATTTTCTTTGGGCAGTCTGCTTCACTTTGCCACCACGAGTCACTTTCTTCTTTTTAGGTGCCACAGGAGGTGGATCAACAATTTCAATATTTTCATCCCTAAGCTTAAAAGACCATCCGGCACTAGTAGATCCTCCCCTCATTCTAACCATGATGCAATGTGGATATGATTTTTAATGCAGAATGTTGTGTATAGAAAAAAACAGTAAGAGCCAACAAGAGTGCACTATGATGCCGCAAGGAGAGGGTTATATGAGGTTAGGGTTTCGTATGTAAATTGGGAATTTTGGGGTAGTTGGGTGTTAGGAGTGCCTTTTATGAGTGGTTAATGAGCAAGAGAGGTGTAATAGAGTTGGTTGAGTCAATTCCTCGGAACTTGGTTTGAGGAGAGAGGAATTTGAATTTCAAATTTCAGAGAAATTGAAAGGTCGCGTCCGAGACTTATAAAGGAAAATGAATTGAGAAGAATGGGTAACTGCCTTATAGGACACATTTTTGAGTGTCGGACGTCCGAACGAAGTGATGCGTCCGACACAACCGTCCGAACCAGGGTTTTTCTGGACCTTGGATGAAGAACACTGTCGGACGTCCATTCCAATTCATCGGACGTCCGATAAAGATTGACTAGAAATAAGACTCAGAACATTTTTTCTGAAACACCCAATTTAGTCCTCAAAGACACAAATTGATCTAGCGGAAGAGCTTTTGTGAGGATATCAGCGATCTGTTCTTTAGAACAAACAAACTCAACACGGATTACCCCCTTTGAGACAAGATCGCGAATGAAATGATGCTTTATATCAATGTGCTTAGTCCTAGAGTGTTGAATGAGATTTTTTGTTAGATTAATTGCACTAGTGTTGTCACAGTACATGGGTACACATTCATATACTAAACCGAAGCATTCAATGTGTTTTTCATCCATAACAATTGAGCACAGCAAGCACCAGCAGCAACATATTCAGCTTCAGTTGTGGACAGTGAGATAGCATTTTGTTTTTTACTAAACCAAGAGACCAAGCAATTTCCAAGAAAGTTGCATATACCAGTAGTACTTTTTCTATCTATTTTACAACCACCAAAGTCAGCATCAGAGAATCCACACAAAGGAAGTTCATGACATTTTGGATACCACAAGCCAAAATTTAAGGTTCCTTTAAGATATCTCAAGATTCTTTTTACTGCATTTAAGTGTGATTCCTTTGGACAGGATTGAAATCGAGCACATAAACACACAGCAAACATGATGTCAGGCCTACTAGCAGTTAGATAAAGTAAACTTCCAATCATACCTCTGTACTTCTTCTCCTCAACTTTTGTACCTTTTTCATCTTTGTCTAGTTTGGTAGATGTGCACATAGGTGTCCCAACAAGCTTTGAATCCTCCATTCCGAATCTTTTCAGCAACTCCTTGGTGTATTTTGTTTGATTTATAAACGTTCCATCTTGGGTTTGAATCACTTGGAGCCCAAGGAAGAAGTTCAGTTCTCCCATCATGCTCATTTCAAATTCTTTTTGCATAATGATGGAAAAGTCCTTGCACAATTTTTCATTAGTAGCACCAAATATGATATCATCCACATATATTTGCACAATCAAAAGATCTTGTGAGTTTTGTTTTGTAAAAAGTGTAGTGTCTACGATGCCTCTTTTAAAATCATTTTCAATCAGAAATCCACTCAGACGTTCATACCATGCTCTAGGAGCTTGCTTTAATCCATATAAAGCTTTTGAGAGTTTAAACACGTGATCTGGATAAGATTTATTTTCAAAACCAGGAGGTTGGTCAACATAGACTTCTTGATCTATAAATCCATTTAAGAAGGCACTCTTAACATCCATTTGAAATAATTTAAAATTCTTGAAACATGCAAATGCTAAAAATATTCTTATGGATTCCAGCCTGGCTACTGGTGCAAAAGACTCATCAAAGTCTATTCCCTCTTCTTGAGTGTATCCCTTAGCCACCAGTCTAGCCTTATTTCTAACAATCTCCCCTTTATCATTCAATTTGTTTCTAAAAATCCATTTAGTGCCAATGATAGGATGGCCTTGTGGTCTGGCAACCAGAGTCCAAACTCTGTTTCTTTCAAATTGGATTAACTCTTCTTCCATAGCTAAAATCCAGTGCTCATCATTCAAAGCATCAACAACATTTTTAGGTTCAATATGTGATACAAAAGTAAGATTATCTATCAGGTGTCTAGAGGAACGAGTCCTGACCTTTTCAGAAGGATCACCAATTATAAGCTCCCTGGGATGATTATGAGCAAATTTTCAGGCTCTTGGAAGATCATTAGGAGTAGTGGTATCTCTATTATTCACTTCTTCATCTGGACTGACCTGAGCATCATTATCCTTTGAATTAGTTTCTGGTGAGGCAGAGTCATGGTCATTGATTGCTAGCTTCTTTAGTCCTTTTTGAACACCTATGTCATCATTTTCACCACAACTCATAGAAATGTCACCATTAGATTCATCAAAAGTAATGTGTATAGCCTCCTCTATAATCAATGTTCTACGATTATAAACTCTGAAACCTCTTTTGTTTTCACAATAACCCAAGAAAATTCCCTCATCAGATTTCTTGTCAAACTTTCCAAGATGTTCCTTGATATTCAAAATGAAACATTTACAACCAAATACTTTGAAGTAGCCGACAACAGGTTTTTTGTCATACATGAGCTCATAGGAAGTTTTGTTCAAAATTGGTCTTAGAAGAACTCTATTCATGGTATAATAGGCTGTGTTTATGGCTTCAACCCAAAAATATTTTGGTAAATTGCATTCACTAAGCATGGTTCTAGCAGCCTCTTGGAGAGTTCTATTTTTTCTTTCTACAACTCCATTTTGTTAAGGGACTCTAGCAATAGAGAATTCATGAGTAATACCATTATGATCATAAAATTCTGGAAAACCACAGAACTTGAATTCTGTTCCGTTATCACTTCTAATCCTAACAATTTTCAGGCCAAGCAGATTTTGTACTTTAGCAAATAATGAGGTAAAATTCTTAAAGGCATCATCTTTATGAGCAAGGAATATTACCCAAGTATATCGAGAGTAGTCATCAACAATCACAAAATAATATCTCTTACCACCAAGGCTTGCAGTCTGTGTAGGACCAAACAGATCAAGGTGCAGAAGTTCAAGTGGTTTTGAAGTAGAAACACATTTCTTAGGTTTAAAAGAAACCTTGACTTGTTTTCCAAATTGGCAAGCATCACAAATTCTGTCTTTTTCAAATCTAATTTTTGGAAGACCTCTAACAAGCTCCTTTTTAGAAATTTCTTTCAGCAAATCCATTTTGAAGTGACACAACCTTCTATGCCACAACCATGGGTCCTCATTTGCTACTTTGAGACATTTGAGATATGAGGAATCAATTTTTTCAAGGAAAACTACATAGACATCATTAACTCTTTTCCCTTTGAAAACAATGTTGAACTTTGAGTCAAATATGAGACATTCAAACTTTTTGAACAATACAAACAGATTCCTGTCACACAATTGGCTAACACTTAACAGATTGTAGCTCAAATTGTCAACAAGAAGAACATTTTGGATAAAAGTTTGATCATTCTTACCAACATCGCTAATACCAACAGTCTTGGCTTTGTTATCATCTCCAAACGTTACCTTTCCACTTGCTTTTTGCTTGAGTTTAATGAATTGTGATGCATCACCAGTCATATGTCTTGAGCATCCACTATCAATGAACCATTTTGATTTCTTAGCAGTGTTATCCTGGTTTACCTACACACAAACCCACAAGATAATACTTGGTACCCTTTATATATTGGGTCCTTGAGAGTTAGTCTTATGTTTAACTACCCACATGCATCTCATGCCATTCCTCATATTTTTCTTAACATGACAGTTGCTATTCATGTGACCAGATTGACAGCAAAAGTTGCATACTAACATTGGATTAATCAAATGAACAGGTTTAATGAATCTGACTTGCCTTCTTCTGTGGATAGCAAACTCATTTGTATTATGGTTCAGTCTTATTTGATGAGTATAATGCACAGTGTTATTCATTTGAAGATGGTTCTGTTTCAAATGATGTAACAATTGACATAAGTCATCCATCCTTTTTCTTAAGCTGCATTGCTCACTCCTGAGTATGTCACAGTAATTTTTCTTTTTGTAAAGTCCAGCAAGCACATCAGACTCAGTCCTTTTCAGGTTGTCATTTTCATACTTAAGACATTTGTTTTGTCGAAAAAGATTTGCATTGTCTTGTATTAGAAAGCTAATTTTCTGCTTCAATTCCTTGTTTTTAACATAGGATTCTTTCAATCTGTTATGCATTTTTTCTAGAAAAGAATTAACATCATCATCAGATTCACTATCACTATCGATTTGAGAGTTGCATTGTGTTACCTCTTCATCTCCAATTACCATGAAAGCCACTTGAGCAGATTCCTCTTCTTCTTCAACTTCGCCTTCTGAGTTGCAATCATTCCAGGTAATTTGAAAATTGTTGAACTTTGGTTTTCGTTCAATCTTGTTTTCCTTCTTTTTCTTCATTGGACACTCATTTGCATAATGCCCAGATTGGCCACATTCAAAACATTTATCATTTTGCTTCTTGTTGAACTCTAGTTTCCCTCTATTTCTGAAGTCATTAGTCTGATTCTGGAAGGAATTGCTGGATCCACCTTTCCTGAATCTTCTCTTATTGAGAAATTTTTTGAATCCTCTTGTGATGAGTGCAATATCACTGTCATCACCTTCCAAGTCATTTTCATCCAGTGAGGCTGTTTCATCTTCATCTTGTGAGGCTTTCAGAGCAATACTCTTCCTTCCTTTTGTATCTTCTTCTTCCTGCATCTTAGATTTAAGTTTCAGTTCATAAGAGGTTAGAGAGTTAATCAGAGATTCAATGGATAAAGAATTTAGATCCTTGGCTTCCTCTATGGCAGTCACTTTGCTTTCCCAATCCTTTGATAGAGCATTCAGAATTTTTCTGTTCTTTTCACCTAGAGAGTACTCCTTCTCAAGTACCTCTAAATCCTTGATCAGATCATTAAATCTACAATACATTTTGTCGATATTTTCATGAGCTCCATCTTAAAAGATTCATACTTGGTGACCAGAATGGACTTTTTCTGTTCTCTTACGTTGTCACTACCCTCATGAATTTCTCTTAGCTTATCCCACATTTCTTTGGCAGATTTGCACCCTTTTACTCTAATTGACTCATTTGAGTCTAAGGCACTATAAAGAACATTCATGGCTTTAGCATTCAATGTGAGATTGGTTCTATCTTGAGCATTCATCTCAGCTCTCGTTTTTTGCCGCAACAACCTGTTTCTGCATCAAGAAAGTTAGCATCATGCGGTCCTTCATTCACAATAAACCACAGCTCAATATCAATGGATTGCAAGAAGATAATCATTCTTTCTTTCCAACTAACATAATTGGAACCAGTAAACATGGGAGGCCTAGTAACAGATTGCCCCTCAACAAACATAGCATGACTGGTTGTCATCTTTACTCCAAGCCGCTTGAGCTTAATCTCTAGGGACCAAGCTCTGATACCAATTGTAAGGATCGAAAACAACCTAAGAGGGGGGTGAATTAGGCTTTCAAAAACCTGCTAAGATATATTCTACTTTTTTCACAGACAGCCTTTCTTTTCTCAAATACCTCCAAATGAACAAGATAACACAAGAGCACAGGTATTCGTGAGATGGAGAGAAGAACAGTTTATGTAGAAAAGCAGTAAATGAAAATAAAGAAACAAACCAGGCTTCAAACACAACTGAGGTTTGAACACCACTTTTATATACCAAGTTACTTCAAGTGGAACAGACTTGCAACCAATCTTTTGTGTACAAGGAAGGGATCACTTCTTTCTTACCCCAAACCACACTTGGTCAAGCAAGGAAGTTTTACAAACACTCGCAAACCCTCACTATGCTACACTATTGAAGAAGCTATGTCACACTTGAAAAACTGCACGAAGATTGCACAAGCAAGGAGTACAAATGTTCCTTTTGAGTATTCTAGCACATGAATCACTCACTATTTGATGTAGGCTTGATGTACAAAGTTATCTTGAGGTGGTTGACTTTGTTCTTTTTATAGGAGACCAAAGAGTTCCTCAATTAATGCTGTCAACGGGTAGAAGGCAACTGAAGAGTCAACTAGCCGTTGGTGCTGTCGGACGTCCGATGTTTGGTTTTTATGCATCCGAACGAGATCAATGAGTTCTGGAAGTTTTCTTGAGTCCCTTAGGACGTCCGATCATGCGTCCGAGGGTAGGATGAATACTTGGACTTTCTTCTTCAATTCCTTCGGACGGCCGATGCGTCCAGAGTGTTGCGTCCGAAGAGCAGCAACGTTTGTCGGACGTCCGATACACAGGTGTTGAGCGTCCGAACCTGATCAGTAATCGAGTAACTCCTGGCTTGTCTTCTTCGGACGTCCGAGTCTGAGTTCTTTACTCGTCCGAAGATACTTAAAGAATGTCGGACGTCCGATGCTCTCCTTTTGTGCGTCCGACATCATCCTCAGCAGACTTCATTCTTTTTTTATCTTCTTTTTCTGCTTTAAATCTACAGACCTGTTTGGTTTATTTCTGAAAAGGATCTCTACAAAAGGTGTTAGAAACATCCAATTATTTTGTAATCATCAAAAAATATGAATTGAGATAGACAGAATGAGATTGATTATTTATTCAAAATTGATTGGATTGTCCTAAAAATGAGTAAACTGGTCAAATGAATTGTATTGACTGGATGGTTTATCCAAAAAAAACTCAATCATCCTAGATGGTAATAAACTCGTAAGAATGGGATGGATGGAATTGACGATTTATTTGAAAATTAACTAGATTGCCCTAAAAATGAATAAATGGATTGAGTTAATGATTTATTCAAAAATGACTAAATTATTCTAAAAGTGAATGATTGATAAAATAAATGAAATGAATGAATTGATAAAATGGATTGGATGAAATTGATGGATAAATTGGTCAAATGGATTGAATTAAATTGTTCTAAAAAAATGAATAATCGGTTCGAATAGATTGAATGGAATTGATGGTTTATTCAAAAATCGATTGAATTGCCAACCCATTTGAAATTTTATTGCAATGCATTAGTCTATGAGTTTTCTAAAATCAAGATTTGGCTTCGATATATTTATCATCTCAACAATGAGGAATTCTTTGTGAATTTCTTCAATTTAATGTCCTTTACGCAAGGAGATTTACCAATTCTGATAAAATGGCCAAAAGATGATTGTTAGATGCTCATATTCTAATGTGCAAAAGTTGCTCGATTATCATGAAAAAAATTGGATCCTACCTTATCTCGTGCACTACCCCTTTGGATGGTATAAGAAATATAAACGTGCAAGTCTTATTGGATTATATATCCGAGACATAAGATGATTTATTCCTATCATGGGATCTCCTATACGGCATTCCCTCCTAAAGTTTA